ATGCACTGTTAACCCAGAACTGAAACCATTCCCAAAGCCCACTCTTCAGACAAAGATTAGACAGGACTAGAAAACAAAAAATAGTAACATGAGGCATGTGCTTCTTGTATCTGTTCAATCGGATATATGAGACCAAATGGGCAGCTCCTGACCAAAACCAGGATGAGAAGGCAGGAAGCGACAGGAATTGGTCAAATGGACCCAGGGAAGCCAGGGTGGAAAGGAGGAGTATGCTGTCACATAGTGGGGAATGCAACCAATGTCACAAAACAATTGTGTATAAATTTTTGAATGAGAATTAGCCTGAGCTGTAAACTTTCACCTAAAGCAGAATTTTAAAAAAATCAATTGACCATAAATATATAGGCTTATTTCAAGACTCTCAATTCTATTGCACTGATCTATATTTCTAGCCTTATGCCAGTAGCACAGTCTTGATTATTGTAGCTTTGTAGTAAGTTTTAAAATCGAGAAGTGTGAGTTCTCCAACTTTGATCTTTTTTAAGATTGTTTTGACTATTTCGTGTCCCTTGCAATTCCATATGAATTTTAGGATTGCCTTTCCCATTTCTGCAAAAAAAGACTACTGGAATTTTGATAGGGATTGCACTGCATCTGTAAGTTGCTTCTTTGGGTCATATTGTCATCTTAATGATATTTAGTCTTCCAATCCATAAACACAAGATGTATTTCCATTTATTTAGGTCTTTTTAAGTTTATTTCAACAATGTTTTGTAGTTTTCAGTGTACAAGTCTTGCCCTTCCTTGGGTAAACATATTCTTAAGTATAGTATTCTTTCTTACGCTATTGTAAGTAGTATTGTTTTCTTGATTTCTTTGTCAGATTGTTCATTGCTAGCATATAGAAACCAGGTGATTTTTGTGTGTTGATCTTGTATCCTGCAATTTTGCTGAATTCATTTATTAGCTCTAACAGGTGTGTGTGTGTGTGTGTGTGTGTGTGTATGTGTGTGGATTTTTTAGGGTTTTCTATGTATAAGATCATGTCACTTATGAATAAAGATAATTTTACTTCTTTTCCAATTTGGATGATTTTTATTTCTTTTTATCTAATTGTTCTGGCTAGAATTTCCAGTGGGCATCCTTGTCTTACTCTTTATCTTAGGGCAAAGCTTTCAGTCTTTCACCATTGAGTTAATGTTAGTTGTGGGTTTTTCATAAATGTCCTTTATGATGTTGAGGAAATACCCTCCTATTGTTAATTTATTGAGTGTTTTTTTTTATCATGAAAGAGTATTTGGATTTTGTCAAATGGTTTTTTTGAGACATTTCATATATTTTTAAAAAATTTTTAAAGGAAATGAAAAGATCCTGGACTCTGAAAGTTCAGAGAAATAAACTTTCTTCCATACATCCCATTGACTCTGAGGAATTCATCTTATACAGGCCTACTTGGCAGGTTGTTGTTATTACTGGACATTGAAAAAGGAAGGCCAAAGAACTGACACATTAAAATTGTGGTGTTGGTGAAGAATATTGAATATACCATGGATTGCCAGAAAAACGAACAAATCTATCTTGGAAGAAGTACAATCAGAATGCTCCTTAGAAGTGATGATGGTGAGACTTCATCTCAAGTACTCTGGACACATCATCAAGAGGCACCAATTTCTGGAGAAAGACATCGTGCTTGGTAAAGTAGAGGGTCAGTGAAAAAGAGGAAGACACTCAGTGAGAGATGGATTGACACAGTAGCTACAGCAAGGAGCTCAAACACAACAATGATTGTGAGGATGGCACAGGACCAGGAAACATGTTGTTCTGTCCCTGTGAATCAGAGCTGACTTGATGGCATCTAACAACAACAACAACTTGGCAGATGGGACATCTGCGGGAAAGGCGTTTTGAGAGCCTTCTGAAGGAAAAAGTGACATTCTGGACTGCTAGGGTTTCTCAGACTCCTTGTCCCATAGATTTCGCTCTCTCAGGCCCCAATAACTTTGGGGAGGAAAGCTAACACTCTGGGCCTCATCCTAAGCTTCAAAAGGATCAGAAACCGCCTCCTAGCACCAGCTTGTGCCCTCAGCTAATGTGCAGTCTTTTTAATTATTTGCTTGTTAATGTTTAATTCTGCAAACAATTCATAACCCCTTTCATCGTCTAAAAAATTAGAACATTACAGGTAAAGCTCAAGTCCACCACTACTCATCTGTCAGCTCCCTCCTCCTCATACAACGAGTATCTATGTGCTGAGAAAAATGAATGAATTATTTCGCTTTCACTAGATGACCAAAAAAAACCCCAGAAAATAACAACTGTTGGTGAGGATATGGGGAAACTGGAACCCTTATCTATTGCTGGTGGGAAGGAAAAATAGTACAGCCATTGTGGAAAACAATGTGGTGGTTCCTTAAAAAACTAAAAATAGAACTATCGTATGATCCAAAAATTTGACTTCTAGGTATACACCCAAAAGTCTTGAAAGCAGAGACTCAAACAGAGACTTGTACACCAATGTTCAAGGCAGCACTATTCACAATCGCCAAAAGGTGGGAACAATCTAAATGCCCATCAATTAATGAATGGATAAACAAAATGTGGTACATACATATAATGTAAATATTATTCAGTCAGTTAGAGAAATGAAGTCTTGATACATGCTACGGTATGGATGGAGCTTAAAGACATTATGCTGTGTGAAATAAGTCAATCACAAAATGACAAATATTGTATGACCTCACTTATATAAAAATACAAGAACAGACAACTGTATAGAGACTAAAGTTTATTAATGGTTACCAGGAGCAGAAGGGAAGGAGAAAAGGGGATTATTGCTATGGAGTACTGAGTTTTTGTTTACAGTGATGGAAAAATCGCATTGATTAAGGGTAGGGTTGAACAGTTGAGTCATACAATTGCTGTCAATTAAGTTGTACACCTGTAAAAAGTTGAACTGGCAAAAGCTGTGTGATAGAGATATTTACAAAGACAAAAACAAAAAACCAATCCTCCCCTGCCCACTGCCACACACACGCAAACAGTAGCTACTGAGGCTGCTTACGTACAACTAAACGTCTCTTGGGATTTGGTTCCTTGGTTTGGAGGCTTAGGGTCGTGTTTTCATGAGATATCCCAGTATCCCAGTTAATTGGCCTAATAATGTGTTGAATGCTTCTGTTCTACCTCCTAGTTTGGAATGTAGTGCCTGGGGTCTTAAAAGCTTACAAGCAACCATCTGAGACATAAAAATTGGTCTCCATTCACCTGGAACAACAGAGGAAGAATGAGAGTCGGGAATAGGAGGAGGAAATGGAATGTGTGGCTTATTGCCTCTGTGAACAACTGCCTCTTTTGCCCGCAGACCAGAACTGGATGGTGCCTAGCTACCATTACTGAATATTTAGATCAAAGACCCTGTAGAAGAATCCTGATCAAAAGGGAGAAAATGTAGAACAGTATTACAAATTCTCATGAAATCCAGACTTTCTGGAACCATGGAGGCTGAATGAACCCCCGAAACTATTGCCCTGAGATAATCTAAACCTTAAATCTTATCCCCTGAAGTCTTCTTAAAACCAGATAATAGTTTAGCTTAACTAGTAAAGCCAATGTCTGCCTTGAGCATTATGCTTTTTTAAGATCTATGTACATGGGATCAAATTGACAACAGCAACTGGAAAGATTAGCTAGGAAACTTAAGGGGCAGTGAGATTACGTTAATGTGGGAGGAACAACTCAGAAAAGGAGGGTGAGAATGGTTGCACAACTCAAAGAATGTAATCAGTGTCACTGAATTATACACGTAAAAACTGTTGAATTGGTGTACGTTTTGCTGTGTATATTCTTAACAACAACAAAATAAAATAAATTATTTAAAAAAATGAATGAGTTATGTCTGACCGTGTTGATGTGGGAAAATGTCCAAGGAAAACTGAAAGATTAAAGAAGTAAATTGGAGAGCAATGCATGTGATAGGATTCCATCTGTGCAAATTTTTAAAGGACAAACATACAGTAATACATGCATAGAAAAGATCTGAAAGGGTATATAAAAACACAGCAGAATTTACCTCTGGGGAGTGTAGTTGGGACTGGAAACTCTCAAGTTCCTCTTTACAATCAGACTGTACTTTTTACATTTTTCTACTGTTAGCATGAATCATTTTGACGACAAAATACTCGCACACAGAAGAACCTGATGACAGTGGTTGCCTCTGGGGATAGGAGTAGAGGACTAGACAGTTGGGGGTGGTAGAGAACCTTACTTCTAACTGAATTGTTTAAATTTTATCATGTTCATGTATACTTAAAAATCAATACATCAACAGTATGGATGAATCTCACAAACAACGTTAAACGAGAGAAGTCAGGCACAGAAGAATACGTGTTGTATGAATCTATTTATGTAAAGTTCAAAACAGGCAAAACCAGTATATGGGGTTAGAAGTCAGGATAGGGGTTACTTTGGCGTCGGAAGGAGCAGAGAAGAATGGAGTGTGGCAGCAAAGAGAAGAGGCAGAGTAAATCCAAACAACATGGCAGCCGTAGGAGGATTACAGAGAAACGTTCATATACTTCCTCCTAGGGATGTTAGAGTGGAGGACTTTTAAGAACAAAATAGTAATGACACAAGGACAGACACACACGCAAACGAACGAATAATGTGACAGAATAGAGGCCCCAGAAATAGACCCAAGACGGGTAACTTCATGTATCAGGGTGGCGTTTAAATCGCGTTGGGAATGTGGCAGTTTAACAAATAGTCTTGACATAGTTGACTATTCATCTGTTACATCTTAACTCATACACACACGGATAAATTCCAGATTTATTACAGATTTATATTAACAAAAAAAAAAAAAAAAAGATATGAGAGCTTTTGATGCTTTTCATTGGTGGGAAAGAAAACTTTCCTATACCGGAATCCGAGAGTGCGGAAACGCGTATTCCGCCCTTTCCATTGGGCTCCCTCGGCCTAAGTCTTGGCACATTCAGCCAATGAAAATTGGCCATGGGCTGCGCGCTCAGCCAATGGGGTCAGGGCGGGAGATTTGAAAGGGCCTCGGCTGGGGCGCGGTGGGGCAGGTTCAGTCGTTTGCGTGAGGCCAGGAAAGCAGCTGTGCCGCGGGCTCCAGGTGAGCTAGCTCCCTTCCGCGGGCCTTGCGCCGGGAGAAGGCAGGTGATCAGGCAGGTCGGGGGTCCGTTGGGCGGGCCCGCGCGCATTCCGCTGAACTGCTGGGCGCACAAAAGTGGAGAGAAGGTCCTGGAGGGGAGTGGGGCCAGTAGCTGGGAGGGACGACAAGGCGGACGCTGGGATGCCGACTACTCTGGCCAGCGTGCTGACCCCCTCCTGCCACCAGCCCCACGCAGGCGCTTCCGGCTAGATAGGTCAGACCCCTCCCTCGCGCGCTCATTCTATTTTCTTCTCACGGCTCTGTTTCCCTCCTCCGGCTCAGCTCCCCGCCCCCTTTCCCTCTAAGGATGGCCCAGAAGGAGAACGCCTACCCCTGGCCCTACGGCCGGCAGACGGTAAGGCCCTTTCCTCTCCCTCCTCCTCCTATCCGCATGGCGAGTTACTGCTTGGAGATTGTCTAAGGCGCCCAGTCTCAGCTTTGGGGTCCTGCGGAGGCCGATCCTCTTAGCACTTTCTTCCCTAGTATGCTCCAACGTATGGGCCCCAAGAGTTTGCTAGAAGAATCCGGTCTGGTCTTTTGCAGCCACATTCTAAAGAAGACCTGTCCAGTGCGGTGGACTTGAATCTGATCAACCACTGGCCCCTCTACTGGGCTGACTGAGCCTACTTGTCACATTCAAGCGATATCTGGGACTGAGCCTCCGGCCTTCCAGCCATGATTCCCCACCCTTGTCCTGAAAAAAAAAAAAAAATAGGCTAGACAGGAAATAGAAATAGGCTCTAAAAGGATTTAGATAAAATGTTTAAAAGGTCAAGGACAAGTCTAAATTAATAATTTGGAATTTATTTTAATAACTAGTGTGCCGTTAACACCTAAATAGATCTAGATGGTTAGCCAGTTGTCCCAACACCTTTCATTGAAGAGTCCACCCTCTGATTTGAAATGCCACCTTTATTATAAATTTTAAATTCCCACATATATGCGGGTCTATTTTGGTGCTTGTTTCTTTGTTGCTGTCTTGGGACCGGTTTTTAAGGGCACTGGGGTCTTCTTCCTCTTTTAACTGAAGAAACCCTGCACTGGCTTAGTTCCCTTGTTGGTGTGGCTTAGGCATCCTGGAGGGTCCATCTGTCCCTAGTCTACTGGCTCCCTCCCTCCTGGAGCACTTAGTGAGGTTGTCAAGAGTGGAGTCTGAATGAGAAACCACTGTCACCTCTACATTGGTCACTCCCAAAAGAAAGCTGTGTATATTAACCTGAGAGGTTGAAAATGAGAAGTGGTCCCAGGCCACCAAAGTAGCCCTCAGTGTCCAGAAAAGCCTGTTGGTGCAAAGGGGTAAATACTGGTATTTGCTGCATCGTTCAAGGCTTCAAAGACCTCATCTAAACCTTGGAGACTGAGCTTTTAGGGACTGTGAGAATACCTCTCTGCTAAAACTCCTTGGATTGTGGGTGTTCATTGACCCAGTCCACTACTGCTCCCTAGGGTGGGGGGCCTGGGTGACTGAATGTGGTGTTATGGACAGGACTATAGAGGCTGGAGAGCGTTGCACCAGACAATGTGGTGTGGGCCAGGGCCAAACAGGTGAAATGTTAGGTGTCGGGATGAGTCTTTTGATCCTTATGTAAGTTCAGCTTAGTTTGTTTATTAATAACACATTTTAATATTGTGCTCTGAGCAGAGTCTTAGGGCTGGGTGGCAGAAGTCTATCAGTGTTCCTCTTTGAACTGGGAGTGGGTGGGTGCGTGGCTCCATAGCAAGTAGCTGAATTGCTACATGTAGCACATTCCAGCCCGGTCACTGGGACAAAGGTGCCTCAGAGTTACCCCCCTGCTCCTACTCAGGCTCAATCTGGCCTAAACACCCTGCCCCAAAGAGTCTTCCGGAAGGAGCCTACCACCTCATCTGCGCTTGTCCCCATGAGCTGCTCCAATGCCCAGCCCACAGGTAACAGGACGGGGGACAGAAGATTGACCTGAAGGAACTGGAGCTTATGGGGAGGGTGCAGGGATGAGAAGGTCAAATGAGGGCCTCAACTTACCTGTTCTCTCCTTAGCTGCTCCTGGCGAGAAGAAGACGGAGAACAGCAGTGGGACACCCAGCTTCTTAATGTAAGTGCCCCAAGCCTTGGGGTGGGACAGGAAATGGGGGAGGTAAAACCCAGGGGCAGGTGGAATAGGGATGGGGCAGGAAAGCCTGGTCCATCCTCAGCTCCCTTCCAAGAGAAAGAGGGCTGAGGGCAGGATGGGCTGGGGGAGTGGGGAGAAAGCAAACACTTTAAATGACCAACAAACCCATGTCACCTCCTGACATTGAGTGGCCGTCCCCCCACCTCCCCTCTTTCCAAGCAGGCGGCCCTTCACAATTGACGACTTTGAGATTGGGCGTCCTCTGGGTAAAGGCAAGTTTGGAAATGTGTACTTGGCTCGGGAGAAGAAAAGCCATTTCATTGTGGCCCTCAAGGTCCTCTTCAAGTCTCAGATAGAGAAGGAGGGTGTGGAGCACCAGCTGCGCAGAGAGATCGAAATCCAGGCCCATCTGCAGTACGATCAACACCCTCCGAGCAAATCCCCTCCGCTAAGCCCCCCAGCGCTAAGCCCCTCCGCCCCTCACCCCCAGCCCCCAGCCCCTAGCTCCTCTTTCCTCTCCACCACCTCCAGACTGCTTGTTAGGCAGCTGTGTCCCTTAGCTCTCAGCTGGGCCAGAGCCATGAATCCAGAGAGCTGCCCCCATCCACACCTGTGTTCTCCCTCGCCACTCCTAGCCCTGGCATCCTCAGCCTGGTCCTGTTTGCCCCGTGTGGGTCCTGTCATTTTCCCTGGCTCCTATGCCAGGATGCAGCCTGAGGCTCCTCTGTACTTCCCCCAGGCATCCCAACATCCTGCGTCTCTACAACTATTTCTATGACCGGCGGAGGGTCTACTTGATTCTGGAGTATGCCCCGCGGGGGGAGCTCTACAAGGACCTGCAGAAGAGCCGTACTTTTGATGAGCAGCGAACAGCCACGGTCTGGGCGGGTGGGCACCCAGGGCACCAGCAAGGGCTCGAGACTGGGGGTGCACTGCTCGTGGCTGGGAGGTCCGTCCTTGTCTGACTGTCTGTCCTTGGCCCTTCCAGATCATGGAGGAGCTGGCAGATGCTTTGATGTACTGCCACGGGAAGAAGGTGATCCACAGAGACATAAAGCCAGAGAATTTGCTCTTGGGGCTCCGGGGAGAGCTCAAGATTGCTGACTTCGGCTGGTCTGTGCACGCCCCCTCCCTGAGGTATGGTGGTGGGCAGGGAGGTCGGTGCTGGGTGTGAGGCTGGGAAGTTCAAAATAAAACCACTCCGAATCTTGTTACCCAGAGACATTTGGGTTTGTCTTCATGCAGAGATACCAGTTGCTATCTGGTCAGTTCCAACTCATGGTGACCCCATGTGTGCTGGAATAGAACTGTGCTCAATGGGGTTTTCAATGGCTGCTTTTTCCAAAGTAGAACGGCAGGCTTTTATTCCAAGCTGCCTTTGGGTGGACTCGAGCCTCCAACCTTTCAGTTAGCTGCTGAGCATGTTAACCATTTGTGCCCAGGGACTCATGCAAATATATAGAACTGTCTTTACAAAGATAGAGTATCACAGTTTTGTTGCCCACATTTTTTACTTAGTATATTGGGACTGTTTTCCTATATGATGACGAACACTCTCACATCATCATTTTTAATGGCTTCAGAGGTCAGCTGCTAACCAAAAGATCGGCAGTTCAAATCCACCAGCCACTCCTTGGAAACCCTATAGGGCAGTTCTGTCTGTCCTGTAGGGTTGCTATGAGTCACAATCAACTTGATGGCAACGGGTTTGGTTTTTTTGGTTCATAGTACTGCAAAGTAGGGATATGACCTGATTTATTTAAGCCGAACATTCTTAATAAGACATTTGAGATATCCCCAATTTTTCCCTTAATTCCAAGATGAACACTGCCCTCATATCTGATTATTAAGATACATCCCTCAGGGTGGAAATGCAGGAACTATGTAGGCCCAGTCTGGGACTTTGGTTTATAATGTCATCCCACCCTGATCCCAGAGGGCTAAGCCTGTCCACACCTCAGTGGCCCACCGAGTCTGGTTGGATGGCTCCCCTGTATACTGAGGTCTCTTGGCTCCCTGCTGTCAGGCAGTGGGGATAGGAGAGGCTGTCTGTCCCCGGGACCCCTGCCCATTCTCCCACACCCCGGCACCCAGGAGGAAGACAATGTGTGGCACCCTGGACTACCTGCCCCCGGAGATGATTGAGGGGCGCACGCACAATGAGAAGGTGGATCTTTGGTGCATTGGAGTACTTTGCTATGAGCTGCTGGTGGGAAACCCGCCCTTCGAGAGTGCTTCACACAATGAGACATATCGGCGCATCGTCAAGGTGGGCGCGCTGGCCTGGTGCGAGGCTGGGCTTTGTGCTGGCTGCAGGGGCAGGGCCAGGAGTGGCCAGACCGAGATCTGGCGTGGCCCTACGCAACTCTCTGAATAGTGTGGGCAGCGAAGGAAACTGTAGCCAGGATGAAACTAATGGGTCCTCCCTTTCCCCTTCTCTCCTTCTGCAGGTGGACCTGAAGTTCCCTCCGTCTGTGCCCACAGGAGCCCAGGACCTCATCTCCAAGCTGCTCAAGCATAACCCCTCAGAACGGCTGCCCCTGGCCCAGGTCTCAGCCCACCCTTGGGTCCGAGCCCACTCTCGGAGGGTGCTACCTCCCTCTGCCCTTCAGTCTGTCGCCTGAATTGTCTGTCATCTACTCAGTGTCTGTTTGTATGTCTGTGTATATGTGGGGGGAAGGAGGTGACCCTGGCCTGTTCCCTTTTCTGTCTTCTACCTCCTTTTAATTTAATAAAGGCTGAAGCTTTTTATACTGGTGCGTGTAGATATTTACAGGCAGAAGAAGCTGTCCCCTATGGGAAGGAGCTGGGGTGGGGGGTGCCCACCCTGGATGCCAGGGATGTATTCCTGCCCCTGGCAACCCCCATCTGTGATGCCCACAGGGTCAGCTCCCAGCCACCCTCACGCCATTGTCCTTTCTTTCCCCAGCTCTGACTCCTAGGGCCTGGGGGACAGAGGAACCTCGTCTGCCCCAGCCTCACTTGAACATCAGCCATCTGCCTACCTTCTCTTACATCTTGCTCTCCCTTGATTCTCTGACCTCTAGTCTTTCCCACTCCTGGTTCATTGATGATGATTTTATCTCAAGATCCTTAATTACATCTGCCAAGATCCTTTTTCCAAAAAGTCTTTAAGCTGTTTTATTTTATTTTTAGTATTTACCATATATCTAAAATCACATACTTCTGTACCATTTTGAGGCATTATCGTTTTTCTGCTATAAAATTTAAGGATTTCATTCTTTCACCCCATTGCCACCATAAACATGTACACTTTCTGTCTCTGCATCCTTCCAAGGTAATTATATCACAATTGTGATTAGATAAACCTCCTCTCGCCAGCCCTTTTTACCAATTCTGACACCTTTTGTCCCTCCCCTGGCACTCTCTACTTCTCTGCTGAGTTCAAAAATTCGTTGCAAAGCCCACATAGAACTCAAAGACAACACAATTATAGGGTTTATTAGGGAAGTAACAGGTTACAATTCAGGTTCAGGGATGCTCAGGATACAGTTCTTCCAGTCAAGACAGCCTCGTCTCAGCTGTGCCCGCAGGCAGGTCTCTCCCTGGCCCTTGGCCCCTCAGCCCAACCTCTGCCCTGCTCGGACAAGTGTTAACAAAGCTCTTTTAGCTCTGCCAATAAGCGCCCAGAGGCACCCTACTCTGCTAGTAAGCCTCCTGCCCAAAGGCGCTCAGCTTGCTTGCTCCGTGGTCCGGGAAGCCCACTGCACCGTCTCCTGCTGGTCTCCTGGTTCTGCTGCCACCGTTTCTCTGCCGCTGCTTCTTGCTGTCTCCAGTGTTACAGCTCCTACAGTCTCTCTCAGTGCCTCCCTTTAAGCCTAGTGGGATGGCATAACTAACCAATCCCCTCATTAGGGTTCCATATACCTCATTTGCATAGTCTCACCCAGTCATTTGGTGGGAATTACAAAGACTATGGCTAGAAGGGCCATATTCAATAATTCACTGCACTGCACTTTTCTTTCGAGGCACCTCTGGGTGGACTCAAACCTCCAATCCTTGAGTTAGCAGCCGAGCATGTTACCATTTGTACCACCCAGGGACTCCTGGACTCCATTAGGGGTTAGCTGGAAGGAGGATGCTGCCGGCATACAGGGTTAAGGTAGCTAGAAACAAGAAGACTAATATGTCATTGGCATCCTGGCGTATTAGGACTCTGGGTGCAAGTGATAGAAATACATCTTGAATGAGTTTAAGCCAAAAAAGGGAAATTAATGCCTGGGGCTCATTTACTTAGTAAATATTTACTGAACACCTATTATAGCCAGGCACTGTTCTAGGCACTGGGGATACAGATAAGAACAAAACAGACAAAAAGCCCTACCCTCATGGAGCTTACATAAATAAGCGATACTGTACATAGTATGTCACATGGCGGTAAGTGCCATGGAGAACAGGCAGGAAGGGAAGATTGGTAATCGTGGGGGAAAGTGACTGCAATTTTATTTTAAATAGGTGGTCTGGGGAGGCCTCACTGAAAAGGTGACATTTGAATAAGTACCTGAAAGAGGTAAGGGAGGGGGGCTATCCAATCTGAATTTTTTTTTTGGTAGACTCAGCCTCAGAAAGAAAAGCAAGAGATAGTATATATTCCTGAGATGGGAGCATGTCAGAGGAACACTGAGGAGGCCAGTGGGGCCCTAGGAGGGTTAGCAAGGGGAAGAGAAAGAAGAGATGAGATCAGAGAAGTACCAGGGCTCTGATCATGTAGGGCCTCCAGGCCATTGTAAGGATTTGGGTTTTAATTGTTAGAGAAATTAGGAGCCAGTGTAGGGCCTTTTTTTTTTTTTTTTTTTTTGTGGTAAAATATACATAAAATTTACCATTCTAACCATTTTAAAGTGTTAACCATTCAGTGGTGTTAAGTACATTCACAATGTTGTACAACCATCTTTCCAGATCTTTTTTTTATCATCCCAAACAGAAACTCTATACCCATTTGCAGTGCAGTGAGTTTTCCTTTATATATAGCCTTTCTGGCCTTGGGTTTCTAATTCTGCCAGAAATAACTAGTTGGGCCACAGCCTGCCCTGTGATTGGTCTATTTACACACCTTGCAGGGATTCGTTCGTTTACTATGCAAATAGGGTGACCTTGCGGGAACTGGTTGATTACTATGCAAATTAAGTGATCTACCGAGGGGATTGGTCAGTTCATAGTCCTGCTGGGAGGACCAGGCCTTGAAATTGACAAGAAATAGTCTTACATAAGGGCCAAACCCACAGAGGTTGGGGAGGACCTCTCTATCATCAGGAAAAGTCTGGAGCAGACCACATCCTTTGGACTCAGGGTCCCTGCACTGAGAACCTCCTAGACACAGAAGAGTTGTAACACTGGAGACAGCATGAGATCGGGAGAAACGGTGGCGACCACAGCACAGCCCAGAGGCAGCAGTAAAAGTGGCAGGAACCAGGAGACCAGTGTGAGGTGGCTGCAGTGGGCTTGCCCGCTCACGGAGTGAGAGAGAGCTGAGTGCCTTCAGGCAGGAGGCTTGCTGGTAGCGTAGGGTGCCTCTGAGCACTTGTCAGTGGAACTAGAGACCTGTAAAACTCACCCGAGCAGGGCAGAGGCCAAGAGAAGCCCTGGCAGAGGGCATAGCTGAGAGAAGGCCTGAAGAAGCTAAGAGCTGTCTTGATTGGAAGTTAATCCTGATCCTGAGCTGTAGCCTGTTACTTCCCTAATAAACCACATAACCGTGAGTATGGTCTGTGAGTTCTGTGCGGCCACTGCAAGGAATTATCGAAACCATCAGAGAAGTAGAGAGTGCTGTAGTGGGGACTGCTGTTGTCAAAAATGGCAAAAAAGTTGGAAAGTGGAGATATGTCTGCCTTCTACCACAGAGGAATCAGCTTTGTGCTGATTTTGATTCTCATCCCTCCTCCTGAATGTAGATGAGGTCTGACGCTAGTAGGATACACCATTAAATAAAAAATCTCCATCTCCTCCTCCAGTTCCTGGTAATCTCTATTCTATTCTATCTCTATGAATTTGATTATACTGGATACTTTCTATAGTCAGAATCATACAATATTTGTCCTTTTGTTTCTGGCTTATTTCACTTAGATGAACTTTGAAAACATTGTGCTATGTTGTAGCATGACTCATTCCTTTTTATGGCTGCATAATTTTGCATTGTGTGTGTATATACATACACCACATTTTGTTTATTCATTCATCTGTTGAGGGAATCTTGGGTTGTTTCCACCTTTTGGCTATTGTGATTAATGCTGCTATGAACATTTGTGTACACGTATCTGTTTGAGTCCATGCTTTCAATTCTTTTGGGTCTATGCCTAGGAGAGAATTGCTAGGTCATAAGGTAATTGTACCAGGGACCTTGGTGGCACAATGGTTAAATGCTTGGCTGCTAACTGAGAGGTTAGAGGTTCAAGCCGCTCCATGGGAAAAAGACCTGGCAATCTGCTCTTGCAAAGATTTCAGCCTAGGAAACCCTGTGGGGCAGTTATATTCTGTCACATGGGGTCACTGTCTTAGTCATCTAGTGCTGCTATAACAGAAATACCACAAGTGGATGGCTTTAACAAAGAGAAATTTATTCTCTCACAGTGCAAGTAGGCTACAAGTCCAAATTCAGGGCATCAGCTCCAGGGGAAGGCTTTCTCCCATCAGCTCTGGAGGAAGGTCCTTGTCATCAGTCTTCCCTTGGTCTGGGAGCATTTCAGTGCAGGAATGTCAGGTCCAAAGGATGCGCTCTGCTCCTGGCATGCTTTCTTGGTGGTATGAGGTTGGTACACAATCATACAATATGGGGAATCAGGACCTAGCCAAGTTGACAGATATTTTTGGGGGACACAATTCAATCCATGAAACTCCACCCTTTGGCCCCCTAAAATTCATGTCCTTGCAACATGTAAAACATATTCATCCTATCATATCATAACAAAAGTCTCAAATCAACTCCAAGTCCAAAATCCAAAAATTCCTCTTCATCTGTGAAATCTAGAATACAAGTCATCTGCTTCCAAAAGTACAATGGCAGAACAGGCACAAGCCAGACATTTCCATTACAAATGGAAGAAATTGCAGGGAAAGAAGTGATAACAGGCACCAAGCAAACCAGCAGAACAAATTACATTAGCCCTCAAGGCTTTGAAAATAATCTTCTGTTCTCTGAGACAAGTTACACAATGGCCCTGCCCTCCAGACTCTAGGTATTGGCCACAGTCTCTGGATTCCTAGTAGAAGCCCCTCGGCTCTGGGCTTCAGCTTCACCTTCGAGGCCCACTGGGACGGCAACTCCGCTCCGTCGGCTTTAGGCACACCATTCTCCTAGTCCAGCAGAGTGGTGACTCTACCCTTAGAAACAACGGAGGCCATGGCTCCACCATTTGAAACCCCTGAGGTCCCGGCCATACCTTTTGAGACTGAGGCAGCTCAGCTTCTTTTGTTCCTTGTCTCTTCAGCTTCTGCTTCTGCTGGCCTCTCAGCTCCTTGGGCCTCACACCCGCATGTGCCCTGCTGGGGCAAGTGTTCTAAAGCTCTGTAGTTCCCACCAACAAGTACCTGGAGGCACTCCACTCAGCCAGGAAGCCTCCTGCACACATGCACTCAGCTCTCTTGCTCCGTGGGTTAGCAAGCCTAGCTCCACTGATAAGTGCCCAGAGGCACCCCACTCTGCCAGGAAGCCTCCTGCACAGACTCAGCTCTCTCTCCCTGGGTTGGCTCCAGCACCATCTGGCCCTGGTCTCCTGGTTCTGCCGCTGCAGGTTCTCTGCTGCTGCTGGTCCTCTGCCACTGCCACTCCTCTATTCACTCACAGTTTCAAAACTGCTTCCACATTTTAGGTATCTGTTAGAGTAGCACCCCACTCTCAGTACCAAATTCTGTCTTAGTCATCCAGGGCTGCTATAACAGAAATACCACAAGTGGATGGCTTTAACAAAGAGAAATCTATTCTCTCATAATCCAGTAGGCTACAAGTCCAAATTCAGGGCATGAGCTCCAGGGGAAGGCTTTCTCTGTTGGCTCTGGAGGAAGGTCCTTGTCATCAGTCTTTCCTTGGTCTGGAAACATCTCAGCACAGGAACCTCAGGTCCAAAGGACATGCTCTGCTCCCAGCATGCTTTCTTGGTGGTATGAGGTTCCCATGTGTCTCTGCTTTTCTCTTTTATATCTCAAAAGAGGTTGGCTTAAGACACTATCTAATCTTGTAGACCTCATAAGTACAACTGCTACTAATCAGTCTTATTACACCATAGTGATAGAGTTTATAACACATAAGGAAATCACATCAGATTACAAAATGGTACACAATCATACAATACTGGGAATCATGACTGAGTAAAATATCATGACAGATCTTTTGGGGGGACACAATTCAATCCATGACAGTCACTATGAATAGAAATCAACTCAACAGCACCTAACAACAACAAGGTAATTTTATGTTCACCTTTTTTGAGGAACCACACCATTGTAGGGTTTTGAGCAGAACAGTAACATGATCTAATTTATATTTTAAAAGAATCACTCTGGTTCTCTCTTGAGAATAGACTGTAGTGGGGTGAGGGGAGAAGAAGGGAGATCATTTGGGAAACTACTTCAGTAATCTAGGCAAGAAATGATGGTGGCTTGGACCAGGGTAGGAGAAGTGGCAATGAGATTCTGGATGTATTTTAGAGCAGAACCAACAAGACTTACCAAAGGATTGGACATGGGTTGTTACAAAGAGAGGAGTCAAGAACAACTCCAAGGTTTTTGGCCTGAGCAGCTGGGAAGACAGAGTGGCCATTCACTGAGACTGGGAACACTTTGGGGAGGAACTGGGTTTTTGGAAGGGGAAAGGAGTAGACTCACAGGAAGGATGAAGGTGGAGCTGACCTCAGGCTGGTACAGGAATTCAAGTGCTGCCAGGCCCCATGCCTCTCCATCTCTTGTCTGTAGTTCTCTTCAGTAATCAGCCTCATTCTTTCCTTCTGCAGACCATGTTTTCCTCCTGGCCACAGAAGATGGACAAGTAGCCCCAGCTAATAATACTGTTGAAGGGGAATATTAATAACAAATATCTTACTTTCATTTTAAGGTTTTTCTTATCCACAAAACCAAATATTAACCATAAAAAGCCTAACCCAAACTGCAAAAGTCTGCCAGAAACTGCTCTGTAGAAATGTAAACTTGTCTTATCCACTTAGAAAAGGATAATCATCAATCTATTACCTCCTAATTTAATTCTCAAAAAGTCTCATGGCCGCAGGGGTTGGAGAATCAAATTATCAGCAGCCAGGCCGAAGTAACCTGATATCAGTTGATCTTAGTAAAAGGTTAAGGCAGGGTTCAATCAATCATATTAAGATTAGCCAATGGTTGATTTTCTATATTTCTCCTTCCTATGGTGTTTTCAATCACCTCATCTGCATGCAAAAGCTGGACAATGAATAATGAAGACTGAAGAAGAACTGATGCCTTTCAATTGTGGTGTTGGCGAAGAATATTGAATATACCATGGATTGCCAAAAGAATGAACAAACCTGTCTTGGAAGAAGTACAACCAGAATGATCCTTAGAAGCAAGGATGGTGAGACTATGTCTCACATACTTTGAACGTATTACCAGGAGGGACCAGTCCTTGGAGAAGGATATCATGCTTGGTAAAGTAGAGGGTCAGCAAAAAAGAGAAAGACCCTCAATGAGATGGATTGACACAGTGGCTGCAATGCAACAACGGGCTCAAGCATAACAACTGTGAGGATGGTGCAGGACCAGGCAGTATTTCGTTCTGTTGTACATAGGGTCGCTATGAATTGGAACCAACCTGACAGCACCTAACAACAACTTCTCTTTATAAGCCCCATTGTACCTACCTTCTTCAAGCCATTTGGTTTTTCAAGCATTTTTTTTTTCAAGCCATTTTCATCAAAATGGTCTCCCTATATGCATATAGAATAACTGGTCAGAATAACCTTTATGTTCATGTTTTGATGAGTTTTAGTTATTTTTAACAATACCCAGCCTGAGATCCTAAGAGAAGGGGAAGTCATTTCACACTCTCCACAGCTCCAGCAAAAAAAGTACTGGGAGGGCTTTTTTTTTTTTTTTTTTTTT